CCATTAATGATCTCAGCAAACTTGTTGAAAATCTGTTGACCATAGATGTATGGGTTTATATTGAGACTCTGAATTCAGTTCCTTTGGTCATTCTGTCTGTCCTTATGCCAGTACCACACTGTGGTACTGATTGATTACGGCAGTTTTGTTTTTTGTTTGTGTGAGTGTAGGGGGGTGTTTAAGATTTTATTTATTCAAGAGAGAGCACAAGTAGGGGGAGCAGCAGAGCAGAGGGAGAAGCAGGCTTCGGGTGAGCAGGGAGCCTGATGTGTGGCTCTAACACAGGACCCTGAGATGATGACCTGAGCTGAAAGCAGTCGCTTAACAGACTGAGCCACCCAGGTGCCCTGTTTCCTGCAGCTTTGTTGTGAATTGTAAATTGTGAGACTGGGAAGAACTAAGTAAGTCTTTTCTCAAGATTGTTTTGGATAATCTAGGTCCCTTACATTTTCATATAAATTTTAGGATCACATTGTCAATTTCTGCAAAAAAGGAAGCTGGGATTTTGATAGGGATTATATTTAATCTGTAGATCAATTTGGGGACTATTGACATTTTACCTATATTTAAGTATTTTATTGTTTTTAATTGAATTGTAAATGGAATTTTTCCCTTTTTCGATTATTCATTGCTGGTACATTTAAAACAGAATATTTTTGTGTGTTGATCTTGTATTTTGCAACTTTGCTAAATTTGTTACCTTTAATAGTTTTGCGGAATCTTCAGAATTTTCTTTAGAAATAGGGTCATTTCATCTGCGAATAGAGGTAGTTTTACCTCTTTCTTTCCAATTTGGGTAGCTTCCACCACCCCCTTGGCTAATTGCTCTGGCTAGAACTTCCAGTACAGCTTTGAAAAGAAATGGAGAAAGGGGGCATCCTTGTCTTGTTCCTGATCTTAGGGAGAGAGCTTTTAGTCTTTTGTCATTGAGTATGTTAGCTCTGGGGTTTTGATAAGTGCCCTCTATTGGGTTGAGGAAGTTTCATTCTGTTCTAGTTTGCTGTGTGTTCTTACCATGAAAGTCTGCTAAATTTTGTTAAATGCTTTTTCTATATCATTTGGGATGATTGTGTGGGGTTTTTCCCTTCATTCTATTAGTGTGGTATATTATAACAATTGATTTTTGTATATTGAACCACCCTCATAATCCTAGGATACATCCCGTTTGATCTTAGTGTTAAAATGCTGCATAATCTTAATATGCTGCTGACTTTGGTTTTCAAGGGAAATTGTTCAGTAGTTTTCTTGTGGTGTCTTTGTCTTTGGCATCAGAGTAATGATGGCCTTACAGAATGAATCGAGAAGTGTTCCCTCTTTTATTTTTTTGGAAGAATTTGAGAAGGGTTAGTGTTAATTCTTTAAATGATAAGTAGAATTCACCAGTGAAACCATCTGCTCCTGTGCTTTTTTTTTCTATTGGGAGGTATTTGATTTTGGAAGTCGTCATTGTATTTATTTTTTTGTTTGTTTCAAATTATTTAAATTCTAGTTAGTTAACATAATAGTGTAATGTTGGTTCAGACATAGAATTCATTGATTCATCACTTACATACAACGCTCAGTGCTCATTACATCATGTGCCCTCCTTACTTAAAACCCATCACCCATTTGGCCCAACCCCATCCACCTCCTTCCATCCACCCTCAGTTTGTTCTCTGTAGTTGAGTCTCTTACGGTTTGCTTCCCTCTTTTTTTTTTTTTTTTTACCCCTTTCCCATATGTTCATCTGTTTTGTTTCTTAAATTCCACATATGAGTGAAATCGTATGGTATTTGTCCTTCTCGACTAACTTATTTTGCTTAGCATAATATTCTCTAGCTCCATCCATTTCATTGCAAATGGCAAGATTTCATTCTTTTTGATAGCTGAGTAATACTCCATTGTGTGTGTGTGTGTATACACACACACACACACACACCCCCCACATCATCTTTATCCATTCATCAGTGAGTGGACATTTAGGCTCTTTCCATAGTTTGGCTATGGTTGATAATGTTCTTTGGGAGGTTTTTGATTACTGATTCTTTGTCTTCACTTGTGTGTTCAGGTTTCTGTTTCCTCTTGAGTTTTCAGATGTGTCTAGGTGTTTATTTCATGTAGGTTATCTAATTTGTTCACATACAATTGTTAATTGTGTTCTCAATCCTTTTTATTTATGTAAGATCAGTAATAATGTATTCACTTTAATTTCTAATTTTAGTAATTTGAGTCTTTTTTTTTTTTTAGTTTAGCTGAAGGTTTTAATTCCTTCCTTCTGCTAGCTTTGGCTTCCTTTTTCCCTTTTTTTCTTTAAGGTGTAGATTATTGACATGTGGGGTTTTTTTTTCTATTTTAAGGTAAGCATTTATAGCTATAAATTTATACCCAAGCACTGCTTTTGCTGCAACTTTGTAAGTTATGCTATCTGTGTTTTCCTTTTCACTCATCTTCAAGTGTTTTCTAATTTCCTTTGTGATTTCTGTAACCTATTTGTTTGAAGAGTGTATTTAATTTCCACATATTTGTGAATTTTCTAGTTTTCTTTCTGATACTGATATCTAGTTTCATTCCATTGTGATTAGAGAACATTCTTTATATGATCTGTCTTTTTAAATTTCTTGAGACTTGTTTTGTGGCCTAGCATATGGTCTTCCCTGGAGGAATCTTCTGTGTGCACTTGAGAAGACTGTGTATTCTGGTTTTGTGTGAAGTATTTTTTATATATCTGTTAGGTCTGATTTTTTCATAGGATTGCTCAAGTCCTCTATTTCCTAACTGGACTTCTGACTAGTTACTCTATCCATTACTGAAAGTAAGGTATTGAAGTCTCTCTCTTATTTTAGTACTGGCTGTTTCTCCTTTTAATTCTGTCATTTTTTTTGCTTCGTATATTAGGTGTGTATATGTTTATAATCTTTATATCTTCTCGATTGACCCTTTTATCAATATATAGTGTCCTTTTTTGTCTCATAGCAGTTTTTGAGAATGAATGAGTGGGAAGGAAAACTGAAAGGAAATGCATATCTGATTTAATAATTATGTCAGGTTATTAGGAGTTCCCACTGCTGTTCTGTGCATTTCAAACTAGTTTTATTTCATTACTTAAATGTATTTTCATAAAACTTTCAAAGAGTATAGTTAAAGTTGAAGTAGCCCCCCCATTCACCCCCTTGTTCCACAGTGGAGGAAACTATATTTTTCAGATCTTAAAAAAAATGTTATATATAGTTTTATGTCTTACTTTTTGCTTAATTTCTGTTTAACAGTATTTTTGCCAACAATTCCATGGCATTCTTTACAGATACCTCTATATAACATTCCATCTCAGTAATATGCCATGGTTTATTTGAACATTTTCTTGTTGAGTGAGAGATAGGTCGTTTCCGTTCTTTAGCTGTTATAAACATGAACCCCCATGTGCCAGTTTATTTTCCTAGGGTAGATACTGAGGAATTACTGGGCATATATTTGGACCTTCTCTGGAAGTGACCAGTATTTATCAATTTCTTGTATATCATTCCAGAAATATTATTATCCTATAAAAGATACATGTCTTACATGTATAGCATATTTATTTCTATGTCTACATATAAAACAAATGTATACCTATGTAATATTTGGATATTATATGGATATGGGTTTTTTTCCATAATAAAGTGGCATGGAGTTATTTGCATGCAGTTGCCTACTGACTAGATGTATCATAATTCACGTAACCAGGCCTCTCCTGATTTTTAGTTTTCTGCTCTTTCACTACTAAAAACAGTGCTATAATGACTACCTCTATACATAAGTCATTTCATAAGTGTGATTGTAATTGTAGGATAAATTCCTAGTAGTTGAAATTAATGTGAAAAGATACACATTTATAATTCTGATAGATACTGCCAAATTGTCCTTCATAGAGGTTTTGCCAGTGCCCGTGCTATCATCTGTGTTACTGTCTCTTTCCCCCAGAGTTCCCAATACACACTTGTCAAACATTTGGATCATTGCCAGTATGATAGGGGAACAGTGGTGTCACACTAGTCCTTTTCATTTGAGTTTCTCCCATTATGAGAGGATTGACCTTTTGTTTGTGTGAAAGCCATGTGTTTTCACTGAACTGCTCTTTTTCTGTTGGGCTGTTAGACTTCGCTTATAGTGGAATTTGCCATGCTGAAAATTGTTTTTATGTTTATATAGTGACAGGTCTCAGTATTAAGACCTAAAATTTTGTGTTATTCTTAGAAAGGCCTTTTCCATCCTGAGATTATTAAAAGAATTGTCCATAATCAAAATACTTTTAATATACTAATGTATATATATATACATATATATGTAATAAGTTACTCTAGGGATGAAAGTTATATTAAGCTTTTTATTATTTATTTATTGCTCAGGAGTGAATGGCCCTACCTCACTTCATTTGCCCTTCAAAGCATGAAGAAAATACAGGATAACAGGGACAGATTGTGTACCTTTGCACAGCATCTCATAGGATGATTGAAGCAGAGCTTGTCATGATTGCCCTATAGACCAATTCAGATTCATGGTGTGGTTCTAAGAACTATTGAATAGAGTCAAGGGGAGGCATTTTTAGTATGGGATCCCTCTTTCACAATTTCAGCGTTGTTCGATTGTTAAAACATCTGGACCTGTGATTCTTTCTTGTACTTCTATAAGAAGTTCTGGCCATCTTTCTGGGACCACTCCCAGTTTCTTTTGTCTCGGATGTAAAGGTTAGAATCCCATGAATTGAATTTGGTGTATTTTGTATACTTCTTAGCAGTGCATTTTTTAGTAAATAAGACGGTATAAAACTACTGCTTGACAACGTGGAAGTTTTTAGAGTGATGACAGTAAGGGTAAGTTTTCTCTCGTCTTATTTCTGTTACCTCAGTATAAAAATCTGAGGGGCTTTGAAAAGCCTGAACAAAAAATTAATTTACCTTCTTTTTTATTAACTTTTTCTTTACAGTAGTCGGTATACTGAGACGGTTATTGGTTAACCATAAACAATGGTATATGTTTTCATCTAGATCCTAAGGAAGAGAAAGAGGAAGAAGATGATTCTACCCTCCCTCAGGAAGTTTCCATTGCTGCAACTAGGCCTAGCCGGGGCTGGCGCAGCAGTACCAGGACGTCTGTTTCTAGGCATCATGACACAGAGAACACCCGAAGTTCTAGGTCGAAGACTGGTTCCTTGCAGCTCATCTGCAAGTCAGAACCAAATACAGATCAGCTTGATTATGGTACAGTACAAGTGGAGTATGGTTATTTAATAACCAGTTGCCTGCTGATTTTAAATGTAATGTTGAACAGCTTACCCTTCAGGGGTAGGTGTGGTGATACAGGCTTCCTTTATAAAGATAAGGTTTTGTTATGCTTTCTTTATCCAGATGGGGCAGAAGAACATCAGTCTCCAGGTGGCATTAGGTAAGAAACTTCGTATTTCGTATTTACACCTTTGGGGACATAGAGTACACACAAAAGTTGTTTTCTGCTTGAAAGAACGTTGAGCCTTTAAAAAAAAATTAACTTTGGTTTTAGTATTTAGTTTAGATGTCACTTTGTTCTTGATTAGAGCTTTAACCACGTAATCTTTAGTTACCTTAGTTCCGAAAGCAGGTCTTTTTTTTTTTTTAAGATTTTATTTATTTGACAGAGAGAGAGAGCGAGAGCAGGAACACAAGCAGGGGGAGTGGGAGAGGGAGAAGAAGGCCTCCCGCCAAGCAGGGAGCCCGATGCGGGGTTCGATCCTAGGACCCCGGGATCATGACCTGAGCCGAAGGCAGATGCTTAACGACTGAGCCACCCAGGCACCCCCAGAAAGCAGGTCTTGAGTACTTTCTGTATTGGCTTATTCCGTGCTAGCCACTGATGGGAAGTGTGGATGTTTTGACTAGGATTTTTGAAATTTGTATTCCATGGTAAATCATGTGAACTTCTTTCTTTTTCTTTTTTTTTTTTTTTTGGCTTTGTTGATCTTTTTGGTAAACCAGATCATTGGATTACTAGACACAGGATTATAAAGTCTCTTGTTTTTGTTTGTGTTTTAAGAGAGGGAGAAGGGGGGCTTAGGGATAGAGGGAGGTGGAGAGAGAATCTTGACGTTGGGCTCCATCTCACGACTCTGAGATCATGACCTGAGCTGAAATCAAGAGACACTTAACCAACTGAACCACTCAGGCACCGCATAAAGTCCGTTGTTTTTTGTTTTGTTTTGTTTTTGTTTTTGTTTTTTAGCTGTTAGTGCCATTGGGCAGTCATCATCTTACCTTTATTTAACCAAGTAATAGCATTCCTAGGATTTATGTATTTTTAGTTACAGTTATCATTGTGAGGATAAAACAGCTAGATTGCAGTCCAATTAGACCATAAGGATGAAAATTCTAGATAACTTACTATGTGAATCTTTGGCAACCTCTAAATAAATTAGCAAATAAAATCCAGTCAGATAAAATCCTTACAACTAGAATTTCTAATCCAGAAATTTGCTTCTTTTTAGTAGTGATGAGGAGGAGGAAGAGGAAGAAGAGATGTTAATCAGTGAAGAGGAAATACCATTCAAAGATGACCCAAGAGACGAGACCTACAAACCCCACTTAGAGAGGCATGTCTTGGATTTTACTATAGACATGTCGATGAAAAATAAGTTAGGAAAGCACTGTTGCATGCTTTTATTTCACCTTGTTGCTGAACTGATGGGTATAGACTTAATTTTAAATGAGTAATTAATCATGCACTTGTTTTGCCAATTTAACATTATCCTATAACTCCTTCACACAGCCTTCTCTTCTAGTTATATAACTTTATTTTGATCATATCCAAATTATTGGATGTCTGCATGTTTTACCTTGATGGTACAAAGTATCATCAATTGCCTGAATATTTAGAATTTTTTACTTTTGTCTTTCTCTTTACAACTGTAGTGCATTCTGATTCCCAGGTATTGTTAGCCTAACGGCTTTTACTGTGCATGTGAGGAACAGTTGACTGGAAATCACATTTCATGAGCTAAGGATCATAATTTTACAATAAATCAATGATAACCGCAGGTTTTACCCTTTTGTCACAGTTCCCTTTGCAAAGATCCTTTGCTGGATACCAGTGTTGAAATGTGTTTGTGTTTTCAGGGAAACCCCAAAACCACGGAGAAAATCAGGGAAGGTGAAAGAAGAGAAGGAGAAGAAAGAAATTAAAGTGGAAGTAGAGGTAGAGGTGAAAGAAGAAGAGAATGAAATTAGGGAGGATGAGGAACCTCCTAGGAAGTGAGTAGGCAGTTACTACTAAAAATGGAACCCTAACAGATTTTGAAGCCATTGGTGGGGAAAAGAGTGGGAGTGTGAGGGGGGCTATTGACAGGTGCATATGGCTGCCTCAAGCAGCTGACAATTTCATTGCAGAGGCTCTCTGAAAAGTTTAAATTTAATCCAAAGCAATACTTAAAGATGTCTAAATGAGTGGGCAAGACAGCAGCTAATGGGATGCAGAGGGAGTAGAGATAGCAAGAAAAAGTACGGCAAATGTGAATCCTCAAAAGAAGGGCAAATGAGGGCAAGTGATTGAAGAGTCTTGACTTTCTGTCCAGCAACCATTACCTGTTGTAGAAATAAGATTTGTTTTAAGTGTTTAGTCTTTTTCGTTCTATTAAAAGGAGAGTATAGTTTATATTCTTAGGGTTTTTAGATAATAGATTATTTTATTCTACTTTTTAAATTGATTAAATTTAAGTGATAGACTTTTTACTGGAACGACTCTTCAAGTAGTAACCTTGAGGTTTATCCAAATCTCCCATAGTAATGTATGGTTTGTGATAGGTATGTATTTAACTTGTAGTGCAGATTTATTTAAGTGAAATTACTTCAGAATGACATCTTTGTTCGGCTTGTCAGATACGTTTTTGACTCTGTATTCTGCATTATCCTTTGTTTCCGCCACATGCTCTTTGGTCTTGAGTATATGTCTTCAGCCATCCTTCACTCTGTAAGCTTCAATCTGGAATATGTGGACAGTTACTCTGTTCTTTAATTATAGGAGAGGAAGAAGGCGAAAAGATGACAAAAGTCCACGATTACCCAAAAGGAGGTAATTTATACTCTTACTATGTTCCTTATTCCTGGTGGTAAGCACTTCACTCACGTAATTACTCATAATTACCCTGCAGGAATGGCTCTGTAAAAATATCTTAAATGCAACTTTATTAATGTCCTTGATGCAGAGTTCCTGTGTTTTTATTTCCATTGTAGGGTCTTTAAGTTTCTAAAAATCTTAACACTTCTTTTGGGAGGTCACTAGTTTATTTTGTGCTGTTTTTTAAAACTCTTACCAAACATTTGATAGTTTCTGGTTATTTCTAACAGAAATTCTATGCAAGCTATATACTAGTAAAGAGATTTTAATTCTTCATGCTATAAAATTGCTGTTCCCTATAGTGCACTCAGTTAAGCCACTGTGCAGCGTGCCTCTTCTCTTTGCTAACTTTTCTCCTACATATTGATAATAGAAAAAAGCCTCCAATCCAGTATGTCCGTTGTGAGATGGAAGGATGTGGAACTGTTCTTGCTCACCCTCGCTATTTGCAGGTTAGTAAATTGTTATGTAAGGCAGCCTTTCAGGTTATGTTCCATTACTGATTTTTCTATTTCATGAGATGCTATAATTCGTGAACTTGTGTAGGCTTTATCATTGACATACAGTGTCAAAAAATATCTTTCTTTAAAAAGGCATAAAATTACTTAAGTCATTGTGTTAAAAATGTCTAACAACATGAGGTTATTTAAAGGATTTCCTTGGAATCTTCGAATAGTCCAGTGTTTCCCATTGTGGTATAAATACTTCTGATATAAGAGATGATTGTACCAACAAACCAAAGACACAGATGAACAGACTTTATTTTAATGTGTATTTTTTTAAAAAATTAGCAACTCTAACCCGCGATTTCTTGAATAATGTTGCAAGTAAATAAATTAATTTTTAGGGTTTTTGTCTTTAGTAGATTTTTTTTTTAATGAATTAAAGATACAGCTTATATTTAGGTCTGGCAGAAAACATGAAAGTGAAATGTTTATCACTAAAGCTTAAGAAATGCCTGTTTGATTTTTAGTTTAGCAGCAAGGATAACATGAGACTAAGGCCCTACTCTCTGATTCTGTCTCTGTGCTAATAGTGATTGCTTCTGTTCTTCCACTGTATGCCGTGTGCTGCGCTAAGCACCATACAACACATGATCTCTGTATCCTCACAGTAATGCTGTGAGACACTTACAGTTGTCTTCATTTTACAAATGAGAACTGTAGCTCACAGTATTTAAGCACATTCCTGAGGTCACACTGCTTGTGAATGATAGACCCAGACTGGAATCCAGGTCTGTCTATTTCCATAGCCTGTGTTCTTAACTGTTTTATTATACCGCACCTCCCTTCCATATTCAGAGTATTTGGTTTCCCTTTAGCACTTTTTTAAGGGGGTGGGGGTGGGGGCAGAGGGAGAGAGAGAATCTCAAGCAGACTCTACCCAGCACAGAGCCTGATGTGGGGCTCCATCTCAGGACCCTGAGATCATGATCTGAGCCAAAATCAAGATTTGGATGCTTAACTGAGCCACCCAGGCGCCCCTCTTTAAAACTTTTGACTTAGCAAAGGAACAAGCTTTCAGGAAGTCTTCATTTTTATCCCTCTTTATTTTCTCTTACTGTTTTAGCACCACATTAAGTATCAGCATTTGCTGAAGAAGAAATACGTATGTCCTCATCCCTCCTGTGGGCGACTCTTCAGGCTCCAGAAGCAACTTCTACGACATGCCAAACATCATACAGGTACTTTTTGAAATAAAATGTTTTACCAAGTGTTAAATGCATTCTACTTTTAAATGTGTAGATTGGTAATGATATTTTTTTCTAATGTAAATCTTAAGAGTCTACAGTCAAGTGTGAGAGAAAGGTATGAAAATAAAATGTAATAAAACAAATTTTAAAGGGATGAACAAATGAGGGCTTTTTACTTTTATCCTTTGACTTTATAAAGAACTTTTATGACCAGGATAATTTTTTATTGAGCACATATCCTGTGTCAACTGTTACTGCTTATCCATCCATTCAACGTCACCAAGTTTGCTTGTATTATCCTTGTTTTACAGCTAAGAAACGAGAGGCTTTGCACATTATGTAACTTGCCTTTGGTCACACTGCTAGTTTTTAGCAGAACCAGGATTTTCTTTTTAAAGATTTTATTTATTCATTTGAGACACACAAAGAGAGAGAGCATGAGCAGGGAGAGAGGGAGAGGGAGAAGTAGGCTTCCTGCTGAGCCCAGGAGCCCGATGCGTGGCTCGATCCCAGGACTCTGGGATCACAACCTGAGCCGAAGGCAGACGCTTAACCATCTGAGCCACCTAGGTGCCCCAGAACCAGGATTTTCTAATTCCATTTCCAGGAGATACTTGCAGTAGCTCTTACAGACTAGAAGTGAGGAGTATGAAGAGAGGGCCTCGATGGTGTAGAGGCTTGCCTGTTCATTTATGGTAACTAGTAAGTAGCTCCCGGCACTTCTGTGCTGCTGCAGTCCTGAAAGCTAGCTACTGACCTCACGTGTCATCTCCTGTAGGATTGTTGACTCAAAAAGAGAAACCTAATGTCTTCGTTATACATAATGTAGAATGATTTCAAATTCCATTCATTTGTAGCCACTGACAATCTCCATGCAGTTCAGCTCATGGGAACAAATGAAGCTGGGTATTAGAGCTAATTGAGTAGGTGCCAGACACTGGATTATTACACATCATCTTCCCAACAGTTGTAGAGGGTAAGACTAGGAATTCTGGTTGTCTCTTACCCAGGGTTACTTTTATTGTATGTGTGACTTAGACAAGTTACTTCTCACTTTCCCTCATCTGAAAAAAGGGGATAATAGTGTCACCGATATTGTGGAGTTAGTGTAAGGATAAAATGAGATCACATATAAAGTGCTCTTTGCTGCACGGGGCCTGGCACACACGGTGGACGTTTCAGAGCACCAGGACTTGAGCTCAGGCCTGAATCACTGCCGAGTCTCCAGTCTCCGCATTGTACGGCTTCAGGGAGAGGGCTGTCTCCACTCTGTTCCTTGCTGCGAGCTGCCTTTTCTCCACTCCTTCTCCCTGTTAATTATGTTTTATTCTCTACAAAGTAGTTTCTGACAGCCAGCTTTAGCTAAATGTCATAGACCTACTATGAGAAGCTGACTGTGTTTTAGAAGTTCAGTCCATTCCAAATATTTACATCTGGTTAGTACAGTTTTATGATGTTATTGTAGTTCTCTTTTTCCAAATTAGTGCAGACAGATCCCTTTGAAGATGTGATTTATTTAAGCAAGTGGATGCCCCACCCAGGTTTGCCATGCAACTATGAAGCTAGAAAGGTGGACAAGATCTGGGAGACACTACGAATTGTCCTTGGGTTAAAAGTGCATTTTTAGACGTTGCCTACTCAGCATGTAGAGGATAGCCCAACAGGCACTGGCGTCACTTGAGCCGCTGTTAGAGATACAGCATCTCACACTCTGCCTCACACCTGCTCAGCTAGCATCTGCATTTACTAAGATCCCCCCAGTGATTCCTAAATGTATTCAAGCCTGGGACAAACTTGGCTCTTCTTCTACACTTGGCTTTAGAACTGTTTGGAATGAAATATAGAATTAAATTGCATACTGTTTGCCTTTTAACTTACCCTCATGTTTTCACTGTGACTTTTTGTAGCAATTTTAAGTGAAAGGCATAGAAAACAATAGTGGTCATTTATTCAGGAGATACAGAGCATCTCCTTATCTGCTTCTCTCCCAAACCAAGTGATAAAGAAATAATTAAGTGCAGTGCCCTTTTGGTCCATAGATTCTACACCATGTTACCAAATTCATCAAAAATCCTGTGAAACTTGGGGGGATTGTGAAATGACAGAAAGGGGGGTAGTTGAATGGTGCAGAAGATGTGGGTGGGGTAGGAGAATAAGGTAAAGAACACAGGTGTACGGTTTGCATGTGTTTGATAGCAGAAACTTGAACGTTTTGAGAGAAATTCAGATTGTTTGTTTTGGGTAACAGTTTTTAAACCTGAAACAGAAGATACGATTACCACTTTAATCGTGGATCACTTTTCTTCTAGGGAATACCAAATTCGGTGGTGGTGGTGGTGGTGGTGGTGGTGGTGGTCTGAGTGCCAAATTCTTTATATATAAGCTTTCACCTTTCACAACCTGAAAAAACTGTTTTAAAGAATAAAATCCAGGGAAAATGTTCTTTAGTTACTAAGCAATTTATCCAAGATCTGGATTACTGGGATTGAGATTGGGGTTCTAATTCTCATATTTCCATTAGTTGTTTTTGTTTTGCTTTGTTTAGTTTTTTTTTTTTAAACGAGTCCTTATGCTACTGAGTGTATGGACTTTAAAAAAAAATTGAAAATGGTATATTTCTTTTTAAAATTTTGTTTATCCAAGGTGTTTTGTACGTTGAAAACAGTATTGCTTTTATTGTAACTGACTTGACTGATTATCTGCTTACTTATTGTGAACTGGGAAAATTAAATACTTAGAGGGATTCTAAATGGAACACTAACCACATTATTTTTCTTCTTAGATCAAAGGGATTATATCTGTGAATATTGTGCTAGGGCCTTCAAGAGTTCTCACAATCTGGCAGTGCACCGGATGATTCACACTGGCGAGAAGCCATTACAGTGAGTGTTATTTACTGGTGGACATGTGGGGAAGCGCATATCTCCCCTACTTGCTGGTTAGTCCCTGTGCAGACTTTTCAGTCACCACTGCTATTGACTTTCACCAAATTAGAGTCAGTATTGATTTGGGGATGCTACTTAGTGAACTTTTTCTTATTCCCTCAGTTTTTTAAACAAACGAAACAGATGAATTTTCCATCTGGTTAGCTTTTCCTAATTTTTCCCAAGAAGTGTGTTACTGACTATTGCCTATATATGTGACCTCTAAATTCTTGCCCTGACCCTGAAGAAGAGCCCTCTTCATTTCTCTGTTTAATCAGCCATTTCCTCTTCCACTCTTCCTAGATGCGAGATCTGTGGATTTACGTGTCGGCAGAAGGCATCCCTTAATTGGCACATGAAGAAGCATGATGCAGATTCCTTCTACCAGTTCTCTTGCAATATCTGTGGCAAAAAATTTGAGAAGAAGGACAGCGTAGTGGCACACAAAGCAAAAAGCCACCCTGAGGTGCTGATTGCCGAAGCTCTGGCTGCCAATGCAGGCGCCCTCATCACCAGCACAGATATCTTGGGCACTAACCCAGAGTCCCTGACACAACCTGCAGATGGGCAGGGTCTTCCTCTTCTTCCTGAGCCATTGGGAAACTCCACCTCTGGAGAGTGCCTCCTGCTAGAAGCTGAAGGGATGTCAAAGTCATACTGTAGTGGGACAGAACGGGTGAGCCTGATGGCTGATGGGAAGATCTTTGTGGGAAGTGGCAGCAGTGGGGGCACTGAAGGGCTGGTCATGAACTCGGATATACTCGGTGCTACCACAGAGGTTCTGATTGAAGATTCAGACTCTACTGGACCTTAGTGGAAGGGAAGACTTTGGGCACTGGGACAGCTCAGACTTTGTATTTAAAAGATAAAAAGGACAAAAAAAATTTAAAGCATTTAAAATCTAGTAAAATAACTGAAGGGCCTGCTCTTTCCATTGTGGATCACAGCACACACACCTACACCCACCCTCTTCTCCCTCTGTTGTCCCCTTTATAAAATTGATGTTGCCTTTACCAAAAAGGTAGGCAAAAAAGAAGCTCTTAAAGTGAGAGTTATCCTCCTACTCAGTTCCAGCCAGGCAGACTTCCTGCTCACTGGCAGATCCCTTCTTAAACCTGTAACTTTGATGTGCTCTGGATCAGCTTTTAACTCTTGATAGTATATTACTGTCCTCTAAACCCCTTCTCCTTCACTGCTGCCCTATGGTTCTGGCTTCTACCCACTGCAGCACACTTATCCCCAAAGTATCATACAGTTCTAATCTCTGGAGGCTGGCAGCTTGACTTGGCACTTTAGGCCCCTTAGCAGGGTGAGCTGTTAAAACAGCACACCTCTCTCACTCAAGCCCATTTCCTCCATTCCCCGCTGGGTTTTGGAAAGGAAGGATTCACGGGGACCACCTCCCTCCTCTGTGACCCCAGCACTTCAGTCCCCTTCCAACACCTCCATCTGGTTCTCAGTGGTGCTCACTAGCTTGGAAGCAGGCTCCCAATTGGGGGGAGGGGGGCTGCCCTCTTCATGGTTTCTCTGATCATAAGGCAGGGCTCTGTATCAGTGAGAAAAGTCCCAGACTAATGGCAGAAATTTGCACTTTGAACATGTGTGTTTTTGTGTTGTGGAACCTGAGATTCCTTATTTATTAACAGAAAGTCTGATTTTTTTGGGGGGGGGGGGTCTTCGTTGCTATATTTTGTGGGGCTGGGAGAGATTAGGTTATTCTGACATGGGGTCCTTTCCATAAGAGGTACTTTTGAAGGCAAGATATAGGGTTGAAGAAGCACAGCCAGCCTCTAAAATCATAGCTCTCCAGTGGCCTTTAAAGAAAGCTGGTCCTCAGCACTAACAAAATCACTACAGTAGCCTAGTGCTTTTTCGGAAGCCTTTTTAGGGAAGGATGTTAGGTTTTTGGTAACTAGTGCTCTTTCAGTTTTTAGAGCATTGCGATTTAGGAATTTTGAGGGGATGAGAGAAGGGTTGTTCAGGGTCTGAATTACAGATAAAAGATTTTCTCTTGTGAATTTACTTTCTTTTTTTATCCCCATCAATTCTTTCTGTACACCTTCCTATTGGCCCAATTCTGGCCCCTTGCTTTGTTTTTGGTTTTGCTTTGCTTTATCATTGTTTCATTCCAGCTCCCAATTAGTGAAGGACACTACCATTAGTGAAGAGATAGTCTATGTCTCGTTCGAAGTCAAAGAAAATTACTCTGTTTTGTTTCCCTTTTATAAAAATAACACCTCAGAAAAGGAAAGGCTTCCATAGACAAAGTTAATAATCTGTATAATAATGGCTTTGGCTTTCACCTAAAATTCTGGGAATTACTGCTTCCATTGAGATAGGGATTTTCTTGGGCTGGATTGCTTATTACTGGCCATGGGAGAGGCAGGTGGTGTGTTTGTACATTTATAGCTCCCAGAAGACTAAAAACCTATTTTGGCTCATTTTTAGAGAATTAGAAGTGCAGTTTCTCTCCTTCTGTGTACCTCACAAGCTGGAATTAAAGGCTCGCCCTATTCATTGTTTGTCAGAAATGTGTGATGGCTGCTGGAAAGAATGAAGTTTTGCTTAGAGCAAAATAAGGAACAGCTTGTTTTTCACAAACACTAAAACTACAAAGTTTATCAATTTTCTCTTTATTTTTTTCCCAAAAAAGAGGGGTAACAAATGTCATCTCTGAAAGAGGCTTACTTTACACCCACTAATGTCAGTGGTTGGGATGCCAGGGAATAGGGAGTCAGACACCTACAGTGAATAGACTTAAATGCACTATTGTTTCTTTTCAGAGTGTTGCAGATTTGCCATCCCTCCACTGTGGGGGTAGAAAATGGAATAAGGATAGAAGGGATGTAGAATATGCTTTCCTGCCCACAGTAAGGATTTGGAATTGACTTGGTATGTTGAGTACATTTGAAAATACTATCAGGTTGATTGGGTGGGTTTACAACAAAGTTGTTCCACTCCCATTATAAGTCCATTTTGTACTTTTTTACTAGCTCGTATCTGTACCCTACACTATTACCTTTTGTCTTTGTCACATTTATCTTCTCCTTTGTCTCTGTAAGTTGTTTTTGCAGTGGTTAGTCATCAGATATTTTAACCACCTACACAAAAGCAAACTGCATAAAAAAAACTTGATGAGATTGAGGGAAAATACGTTCTTCCCTATATCACACTCCTCCCCACCAAAGCAACAAGTTAGTTCTAATAATTAGAAACTTTCTATTCTTCCTCCTTTTGTTTTTTGACCTCTTTATAGGTACCACTTGCCTACCGTTTGCTTCAATAAATTATTATAGCAGTTTGCAATCAATCTTAAAATATTCTCCATGGCCTTTATCTTTTTTCCTTTTGATAAAGGGATGCTAGCACAATAAGAGTGGTGTAAGTAAGCTGTCTTATACTAGGCCCTCTTCCCTTTCCCTGTCTGCTTCTCATGCTGTTTACTTCTTTGTCCTTCCAAGGAGCCCTTTTAGTCTTAAAATTCTGCATTTTGTACTCTTAATCAAATTGGGTTACCTTTTTAATAACTTCCCATTGCACATTCTCCAATTTGAATTGGCAGTTCAAAATTCTGAAAGTATAGTTGAGATACAAGTAGTATTTCTGGGAGATGCGCTTTCCCCTAGTCTCTGGTTGCCCAGGGTTATTCTGCATAATTGAGACTTACTGTGCTCCAGAGAGTTTGGATAAACACTGGCCAGGATTACTGGAAGTTAAAAAAGAATTCAGGTATGGAAAAGCATCTACATAGAGCACTTGAACCTCCTTTGTACCTGTTGGAAAAAATACAAAGAGTGTACTAAACCCAGCTAAGGTTATTACAGTCTGGTTGTTTGAAGTACCATTTTTCCCTCCTCCTTTTTCCCACTTTCCAGTGTACTCAAGAAAATTGAAAAATTGTAATGGATCAATTTAAAATATTTTTACTTCCTAAAAGCCTTTTTTGCCTGTTGTAATGTGCAGGACCCTTCTCCTTTGATGGGAGAGACAGGTAGTTACCTGAATCTAGGTTGAAAAGGTTATGTAAAAAGAAATTATAATAAAAGGGATACTCTGCTTTTCAAATCCTTGTTTTCTCTTAATCTAGGTAAGGCATATCCAAAATAAATATGTAAAGAAAAATAAAAGTTGTCTTCATGGAAGCAACTTGTCTTCCTTGATTGTACTGAGTTACAGTTATCCTAAGGGTTAAAACAATTGATTGCTGCTGAGAATCCAGTGCCCCCAGGACAGGGTTTATGTGGCAGGTGCTATTGCTTCTCTCCAGCAGAGTCAGATAGTTTACTTCTCTTTCGTTCTTGATCTCTAATGCTGAGTTGCCATAGGATTCTTTGATCATCTGGCCAACTTGGAAACCCCTCCAGTGTTTTGACAGAGTTCTAGAAAAGATGGCCTTATTAATCTAGTAGGGAGAACGTTAAGGATGCTATGAGGTTTATGTTAGTCTGATAATGACAAAACCTTGATAGCATTTAATATCAGTGCTTTTTCACAAAACTCAGTGTCCACAGCGAGTACTAACTTAAAAAAAAGATAAAAATAGAATCCTCCTACCTTAAAAGGCCTACTGTGAGTGCCAGTCTCAGTTTTCCTCCCCTCCACCCCTTGTTTATTGTTTCCCTGTGGAAGTTTGCACCTGAAAAGGCATGTGTTTCTATTTAGAGACAATGTCTATGGTACGAAATAGTGAAAGCTAATTGATTTGGGGATGACATTTGCCGCTCTTGCTCAGGGAGCATTATCTAACCTACAGAGTTACGTTAGATGCAGCAGAAGAGAACTCTGCATGTGCTTTTAAACTCTTTTGTCCTCATTTCAAAGCCCAGCTCATTCTCATATTTTGTTAGGAAGCAGTGTGGTATGACTGGGATAAGGAAGAAGAAGGAAAGCATGTTGTCACTTGAGACTGCCTTAGAAATGTTTCCCAGTCAGCGTTGGGTGTTTCCTGTTCTTTGGAAGAGAACAGGCCCAAACAGTACCTTCTTCATCCTGTAGCTGCAAGGAAGGCACCATGATCGAGGTTAGAGATGACTGACTTTGCTGATTTTTAGTTGAGTGTAAATGAAACTAACTTTAAATACATAATGAAAAGATGCTATATTTTTAAAGGACCTATTTTGCATAAATTTTGTTTCTTGAACAAAATGTGAAAAACCTACAGAATGAAATTGCAAAGTCAATGGGAGAATCAGAGACCTAATTTAAGTTTTTTGCCTGCTTGCTGGGTTTTGTGCACATTATTTAGTTTCTTTAAGCCTCAGTTTCTTAATGTAAAATGAGGAAAATAATACTTATAGAACTATTCTAAAGATAAATAAAGGCTTTAAAGCCTTTCACACAGTGTCTGGCCCAGAGTAGCTGCTTAATCAATGGCAGCTGTTAATAACTTAATATTATTGAATACTTTACCAGGCCAAAAAAGGAAAAAGAGAGAGAGAGAGAGAGAAAGAAGAGGACATGGGCAGTGCAAGGGAGGGTGATAACAAAATGAACTGATTATGTGTATATAAAGTAGATCACATTAGGCAGGGATGTCATGAGGATTAGTGTGATAGTGACCTTGTTGCTAAGTGCAAAAGCAAAACAATGACATAAAAGCAAGTAGGCTCAGCACTGAGTGGAGGAGAGAGATGGAGGCAGACACTGCAGGGAAAAAAGCTGATTAAAAAGGGGCCTTTGATTCCACAGGCACAAAAATCCACAGCCAGGAATTTGCTGCCACCTCTGAGTCAGGCAGGGGGGTGGGGGTGGGGTGCACAATCCCATTAGTACAGAATGCCCAGTGGATTTAGTCTGAGAGTCACATTTCTTACTTGGACCAGTGTAGACCGTAGCAAACCCAGCTCACTTGTTTCCTGGGACAGTTGAGTTAGGGGATGGCTTTTGCAGAGCACTCACCGCTGACCCCTCACCGCCGGGACCTCTGTAGCCGCTCTATCTGGCTAGCAAGGAAGATTCGTTCAGACCTGACTGCTCTTTTGGAATCTTATGTAAGTTGCCTGATTTGCTGTTGTCTGTTTTCACTTCATCTCTTCTGATGCAGCCCCTTACTGTCATGTTCCAGCCCCCAATACCAATCATTGAAGGCCCTAATCATATAGTCATTCATAGATTGGGCACCTATTATTTGACATGGTTCCTTCCCTTAAGGAAACTCCTATGACCTTATTTTCTTCTCTAGGCTGTTTAGGAGACATGATCTATGAATAAGAAAAATAGACATAGGCTTCTGAGTGGGATTGGCTGCGTGTCATGGAGGCTATTCCTAATTTGATTGCCTACAGTCTGAATTCTACCAGAATAGATTAACCATGTGCCCTCTAAGTGTGGGTTCTTCATTCACATTGTTCTGAATTTTTGAGCAGCATAAACCCAAAGAATTTCTTCTGTACAGTATTAGCCACCCACTTTTTCATTACATATATCAAGTTTCTGTGTGTCTAAATAGAATGGTCACCTACACTATCAAAAGGATTCCCTAGAAGATTCATTGGGGACTTAGGGAAGTGTCAAAGGAACTAACCATGGAGTTCCAGATTGGTTTTCTGATAGAGGGAGATCACCATCAGTTTCCACCTAAGGCTCACTATTACAGAAACACTGAAGGAGAGTTGTAAATTTAAGTTCTCTGAGAATTGGTTTATCTTTGTATAGTCTCACCAGTTAAAAATCAGACTCTTTAGTGCCTTTTTTTATTTTTTAATTTTTATTTAACTAATTCCCACTGAATTCTCTAAAGGATTGTCCTCACCGTTGAGAGTGGATAATGAAGGAGAGGGGGTTAGAAAAATTCTGCAATGGGTTAATTCTAGGGCTTCCTAAGGTCTGGTCAGTGTCTTCAAGTATGTTTAAAATACTTAAAACTCCAGTATGATTCAGGTACTCCAGTTTCCAGGAGGGAGTTTGAAGTGGGAAGGAAAAATTGTAGACTAGTGTTTTTCAACGTTTAGAATCTAATGAAAGCTGCAGATTCTCCCACAAAAAGTGAATAGGTAGTCAAAGCAGTATGTATCATTTCAGAGTGAATAAGGTCTTCCTAAAGTCCAGTCATTGGATCCCAAATGATCCAAAAATTTTGGAAAATTTTTATTTTCTTTACAATTTGGATCCTTGACAAGGAAGGTGAATTAAGACTTCACATGAGATTTAGGGATTAAATGAGAATTTTGGGATAATTACAGAAGATGTGATGTTTTTATGTATCCTTGGCCAGATGAAGCATCAGGGCCTGAACGAGAACATAAACCTGGACTCTGTGGATGGTGTGCCAATGGCAAGCACTGAATGGTGGAGTGAGCTGACTGAGGCAGAGCGACTCCAAGAGAACCTCCAAGCTTATCGTGCCTTCCATGTTATGTTGGCCAGGCTTTTAGAAGACCAGCAGGTGCATTTAACTCCAGCTGAAGGGGATTTCCATCAAGCAATACATACCGTTCTACTCCAAGTTGCTGCCTTTGCTTACCAGCTGGAGGAATTAATGATGCTTCTGGAACACAAGATCCCCTCCAATGAGGCTGATGGGATGCCCATCATTGGTGGAGATGGTGGTCTCTTTGAGAAGAAGCTGTGGGGCCTAAAGGTGTTGCGAGAGCTTTCACAGTGGACAGTGAGGTCCATCCATGACCTTCGAGTCATTTCTCATCAGACTGGGATTCCAACACATGGGAACCATTATATTGCTAATGACAAGAAAATATAGCAGTTATCCCTCCTCTCTCTCCCTCCTTCCTTTTCTAATGGAATATACACAGCCCCGAGGCCTCACTTTCCCATTCTTAAGTTTTGAAAGGTTGAAAGTTTTCTAACCTTTGAGACCGTAGGCATTTTCATCAAGTAGGGTTGGAGACATGGACAACTGGGCATACAGGTTGTGTGTGTGTGTGTGTGTGTGTGTGTGTGTGTGTTGGGGCCATAAGGGAATGGGGGCAAGGGCAGCATCCTTCCATCTTAGTGCTCTAACCTTTTCTACCCACTAAGTTAAGTTTACAAGGATTTAATAGTCTGACAGAATAAATATATGTTTAACTTTAGTCCTAGATGACTTTTCTGGGAAGATTGAAACTTAATTAAAAATCCTGGACCCCAGCCAATTCAAACTCTTGGATAATAAAAATACTAACATTTATTGAGTATCTACTATATTGTAGCGGTATGCCAGGGGCTCTGTGTATATTATATCTTCACAACAACCCTGTTGAGGGAGGTAGTGTTATTCCCATCTGGCAGATGAGAAAACAGAAATTATAACTTGGTAAAGGTTACCCAACTAGCAAATGGCACACTTAAGTTTGAACCCAGATATTTCTCATCCCAAAGCCTATGTGTCCTTCACTTCAGAGGCCTGATTATGACCCTTTATCCCTGCACCTCTTTGCCATAGCGGGTTGGAAAATACATTCAAGTATTCTATCCCCGGCCCTGGAAAACAATCCCCATTATATGTCCTGATAGGTCAGTAACATAATTGTAGTGTTAAAGGCGGTATTTGTTGCCCACGCTTGGCAAAGACGAGAGCAGTGGAGATGTTAAGATTCTGTTTGGGGAAAAGAGTAGGCCCACCAGACTTCTGAAATTAGGAAACTGAGGATGTGCAGTAACACAGCCTGCTTTATCAAGTGTCCACAAATGTTCTGGGTTGGGCACAGCGCACAGCAGCCTACGTCGCGTTTACTGTGAGCAGCAGTGTAGCGATACAGGCAGTGTAAGCAAGCGTTCATGGACAGCGGTTGGAATAGCACTCAGGTTAAAATGTCACAAACTCCTTTACCACACATTCTCTGGACTTAGTCATGAGGAGAGGGGGAGGCCCACTCTGTTCCCCGTGGGAATGCCAGTGATTCTGAAACAATACATAGCACAGCCTCCATGCTTCACAACAGAGGGGCAGGGCGCTGTGTTTAATGTTCTTGAGAGAAACAGTGTGAAAGACACAACCGGTAAATGTGGGCATTGATGGAAAGGTCGTTTGTGGTCGGGCCTGTGAAACTAGTGGTGCAATGTAAATTCAAAAGTTCTCAGGTATAACGTTACTTCACACTACCAATTAAACCCACCATCTTGGATGTGGGACCCAAATCAATTTAGTTTACTTACTTGAAGCTCCTGTGCTCTTAAGTGAACCGTGAGTCAGAGACGGCTAGCACCCATAGGTTGCATGAGATGGGACGGGGTGACCTAGCTTGTGTCTTTCTCCCACAAGGGTTTGTGTCCAAAACTCCACGAGGTCAGTGTTATGAGGACTCTGGGCTGGGCACCGTGGCAATACAGGGGACATAAGGCCCGGCTCTGTAGTCTGCATTTGTGGAAATGAGCTTGTATGCGTAGAAAACATCAATAATGGTTGGAATTGGGAGGGAGGCACAGGTTTAAGTGTTAGGGTGTTAAAGAAAAGGAGCTCAGCAAGGGCCCGAAATCCCTTTCTGGAGGAGGGGGGAGTTCAGTTGTGTCTCAGAGGTTGTCTGAGTACCAAATGAGAAATGAGAGAGACAAGGAAAGAGTTGCCTGGTTAGAAGAAAGTAAGGTGATGATAAACATTCGGGTCCCACTGCCACTAGAGGTTTATCATTTGGTTTTATTTCATTTGTAACTTTGGTGTATGGGTAGATACTTCCTCAGTAAATGCATAGATGCTGATTTCATTCAAGCTTCAACTGGTGGTTCTGCTTCAAGAGCAATATTTCTCATTGATAAAGTACCTGCTTATTAATGTGAAGCCCTTAGATTTATCTGTGGAATATTTTAGACTCTTTAATGGATAAAGATGTGACTACAAATTCTTAGTGGGGAATGACTGATTACAGACTTGCTGAATCTGAAAGGAGTGACCCCTCTCTGAGGGTTTGTCCTTATATTCAGCAGATGTGGCAGAGCAGACGTCGGCAGAAGTTTCAAAAGTCAATGGAACATGGCTTAAGCTCTGAGTTACATGTGAAGGAGTATTTATATATATGAGAGGCATATTTGAAGTGGCAGAGGGTCCAGAAAAGGTACAAGTACTAACTATTGAATGGGAGGAAATAGGAAGCTACAGAAGTCTCGATTAGGTCACAAGCAGCAAGTCTCCAGAGTGTACTCCCAGCGTTGTACTAAGAGTTCCGTACCAGTTTCTTCTTCAAAAAAACTTGCAATATGCCTCAAAAGAAGTATGGAGAAAATGCTTAGAAAGTGTAGATAAATAAGGGAGAAGTGAGCACTTAACTTTAAAAACAAAGTCATAAACGTGAATGGATCTGAATGTGTAGACTGCATCATGCTTATCTGAAACGGACAAGACCGTGAAGAAGGGACCCAAAAATAGGTCCATGTTCTAGGTGTGTGTCTTAAATACAGATAGGAATAATGGCAACACTGTGGAAGAAGTATGGTTTCTTTAAGGATCCAGAACCCAAAAGAGATTTTTGGTCTTTAGATTTTAGTTTCCTTGTTCCTTAGATCTATATATGGATCGGATCTCTGGGGAATCATATTTTTATATGTGTGTAAACTATATTATATAATACATAAATATAAAATTTATATATAATGTATAACATGTAACTATATAGTGATATATATGTTATATGTGTGTGTGTGTGTATATATATATATAATTAAAAGGCATGAATGTAGTTCCTAACCCCTAACTTGTATTTTGTAAAGAGTATTCCCACAGCCTGTAGAAGTCCTCTGTGGGAGGGAGATTCTGTTTTCCTGAATCTGTTAAGGAATTGCATATATGAGCAAAGATAAACTCTTTTTACATTGATTTAAGAAGGTGATTTGGAAAAAATTTGCAAATTGGCACAAACTCATAGGCCAAGCATCGAATAAAATTAGCTTTGAAATAATCAGGTCTGAGGGAATTGAGAGTTTTAATAAAGTCATAGCCTTGGTATTGCTGTAATTCCAGCCTGCTGTGGATTAAAGCCCAATGGATGACTCATTCTTGTGACCACTGGTCAAACAGGCAGAGGACAAGTAAATATTTTAGGGAGACCTATCTCAGAAGTGGTTTAGAATGACTTCGTGAATCCTTAGCTCCTCAAGTAGCTGAGCACCTTCTCTATATTAATACTAAGGAGTAAAATAGAAATGCAGGAAGCAAAGGGGCTTCTACCACGGTGAGAAAGTGATTGGTGAAGAGGAAAGGGGAAAAAAGGAGTTTGGATATCACGTCAATTAACTTACGGTGTGTGTGCATGTGGGTTAGTCTCTAGACAGTGTTTAGGCCAGGACATTTAAAAAGAATGGTTTGGCCTGCCTCGTTCCACCCAAGAATGAAACCTCTGAGTGTTGGTACGTTGAAAAAGTGAAAATGATAAAAATCATCTTTCCACTCAAAAGCTTCTATAGAACTCTAAAGTCTACAGATAAAGACAGTAAAAATATAATTTGATCTTTTGGTGAAATGTGTGTGGGGTGTGCAGTAACATCCATGTGCATGTGATTCTTACATTACTTGGATCCATCTATTTTTGGCAGATAGAAAATAAAGATCCAAGAACGGCTAACAATAAAGATCTCGCCTCAGCAGGACCATGAGTTGCTTTTATTTCTGTATCTTTGGATGAGCAAGAAGAATTTCAAGTGATTTCAACATTGGATAAAATGTAATCCTCCCAGCCAGGGCCATGCTCAGTCAAGCATGCCAGGTAAATCACCATGATGCCAGGCCACTGGGAAAAACTCCCAAGGCCAGTCAGCCTAGAAAAGGTAGTTTGCCCCATACCTATCAGCTAGCCTGCAGATGAGGCAGATTTCCTTTCATATGGTTAAATTTCAAGTATTTGAACCCCAGGCAAACTTGAAGGACAGAGGAGAACCCCAATTAGCCCATTTCTAGTCTAGTTTGAAGGTAGAAACTAAGTTGGGAAAGATAAGAAAAATTACCAAGAGATGCTGTATTTTTATCCACATGTTCAAGGTAGTATGAACACTGCATTTACTTATGTCAGGTATTACCGTTTATCCTCTGAGAGACCATCTCACAAATGAGGGAAGTGAGAATGAGCATTAGCTTGCCCAAGTCCCTCCCCTAGTACCTGACAGGTTTGGAGTTTTAGTTCTGGCTCCCAGACTCACTACACCCCACTGCCATGGGCCACCTAGCAATTGAGGTCATTTTATGTTGAAATGCGTTCTCGATCTCTAATTCACTTTCCTTGGATAAAGCCAATGTAAACTTGGGCAAATCCCGCTCTGTGACAAACCTGGTAAGTTTCCAAACTTTGAGACAAGTCGCCTTTTCTGAGCTTCCTCATTTATGAAATGGAAATGACAACTTCACAGGTTGGTTGATGGTTCAGACAAGTATCTGAAAGTACTTGTGAATGACATACAAACATAGAGAATACAAGGATAAAATGGCTCAAATAGCTTGGATTCATGGAAAGCCTTCAGCTGAGGAGAGAGCTCTGTTAAGGATCTCAGAGAAATACCAGTTGCTCCTCATGATCCCATCTGGTCACAGCGTAGACGTCACCCTGTTGTGCCTGTGAGCCTTTGGCCACTAGAGGCCAACCCAGTCCTACAGGGAGCTGCCAAAAACCCGCACCCTCCAGGGCTAGAGAGGTTCGGTAATCCGCCCCAGGTGTCCCAGCTAGAATGTAGAAGAATTAGAACTACAACTTAGTCTTCCTGCTTCTCCATTAGACCAGCCTCATCCTAGGAGACATCTGGTGTTTCTCCATCATTTTCACTCCCTTGCATCCAGCACTTTCTGGCAACCCTTCCTCTAACAAGGCTTGGAAACTCTGGGAACAGCAACTCATAACCCAGACTTCTCTGGCCACCCCAGCCGCCACCTCTACTATCATCTGGTGGTCCTGATATGTCATTGCTCCCCTGATATGGGAAAAGTGGGACCCAGTCTGAGGTAATGGTTAAATATGCTATTCCTTCCAGGATAAGTGACATTCGAACAAGGGATCCAGGGAAGCTTTTTAAAAATACATTTCTGAGGCAGGTGTCTATCTTTTAAGTCAGACCAGCCCTATGCCATACCACTAGATAAATGTTTAGGACTGCTTTCTCTTCTCTCAATTATCCCTGGCTCTTATCCCCAAATCCTGGGGTGGAGGGAGATTTGGAGGTTACACAGAGAACTTAGCAGGCCACTAAACAAATTGACCAACCTGGTTCTAAGCTCCAAAGCTCAGGCTTTCCTGCCCTGCTCCATCCAAATTCAACAGCAGTACATATTGATACCTCCTTTGGACCAGTAATAAGGATACAGAAAAGAACATTAATGATAGTAGCAAACACTTACAGTGTTCATTTTACTCTGTGCCGGTCATCATTCTGCTTTACATGCATTAACTCCTTTATTCCTCACAAAAACTCTATGAGGTGGGTACTATGGGGTTGAGGGCAGGCCACCCCAAAATGTGCTGCTTTGGCATATTGATAAGTTACTTAAACAGCCAGTGCAAAAAGGATGCTCTGCCCCCCCTCCCCCGCCACTTTGTCCCCTGAAAGCAAAAAATGCATCTCCATGGGAAAATAGCCTCCCTGTAGCAGGGGCGGGACCTCCTCATCACCAGAGAGACAACTGAGGGCTGAGAAGGCTATTTAAACAAACCTTGTTACTTCACTCATTTACTACCCCAAGCCCAGACCCCTGGGTCTTGTCAATTCTTCACAGATGTGTTTGTCTAAAAGGTGCAAAATGTGCCTGCTCTGGTCACTTCTTTGAGTCTCATGTTTTCATATGAGCATGTACGAAATTAAATTTGTTTTGCTTTTCTTAATCCATCTTCTGTCAATTTAATTAGACCAGCCAATGAACCTAGAGGGGAAGAAAGAAGTTTTCTGCCCCTACAGTATGAATTCTTATTGTACAACTGAAGAAAGAGGCACAGACAGCAGGTGGTTCCCTGCCCTGCAAGCACTTGAGGTGGGGACAGCTCAGAGAAAGACAGCAGGTATGCAGCCAATGGGGACAGAAGTCAGGGTGCAGCTGGTCGCACCAGGATGTGAAAGAAGAGCTGCGGGAGCCCCAAGGAGGGGAGGAAGGAATGGAGAGAACTTCTCCAAACAGGCACTTTGGGAGCTAGGCTTTGAAAAATGACAAGGGTTTTGGCCTCGGGGGAAAAATGAGAAGTGGGCAAGAACATTTTGGAGAGAAGGACCAGCAAACAGTCAATGCTTGGCTGCCAGTAGGCATGAGGCATGTTTGTGAATGTTCACCAGGACTGAGCACGGGGTTCTCCAAGAGCCACAGGAGGAGATGAGACAGGAGGAGTGAGGTGCAGGCACCTTCAGGAGAGACTCTTTGTTTTAGAAAAACAATTCAGACAGTTCTGTGAGAGCTGTCCTGGACGTGGAAGTGGCCTGGGGTAGAGAGAGCCATTAAGATGCTGCTGCTATTCTCAAGGTAGTATATGTTTCAGCTATTCGTGGAAAAGTTCGCAGCACTAGGATACAGAGGTGAACACAACATAATCCTTGATCTTTTAAAATTTGAATTCTGGTGGGGGAAGACAGGCAACACATAATAATAATACAATTTAGAGAGGGATAAGAACTATGTAGGAAATCAAAAAGGTGCAATGATAAAATTACCAAGAGACGGGGTCAGGATGGGCTTTCTCAAGTGGTTATTTCCCCCGGGAATCTGAATGATGAGGAGTCAGCCCCCAAACGCCCTGAGAGCAAGTACCAGGGGCACAGGGAACTATTGAGTCCAAAGCCTGAGGCAGGACTGAGTTTCCTGTTCTCTTGGAGCTGAAAGGAGGCCAACAGCAGCTGAAACCAGGAGGGGCAGGGGAACGATGCGAGTGCCAAGGCCCTCGGCCAAAGACCAGGAGAAACACACCTGTGGTTAAGCAGGTGCTTTATTCCTTGTTACAGCAAGGAAGAACGAACACCATGGGAAACTATGGGGTGTCTTGGTAAGAGAGTGTTGGAACTTACTGTAGAATGAGGCTTCCGCTGGGTGCCTCTGGGGAGGGCCTGGGAAGGCAGAGGTTCGCTCCCGTTTGGACGCTGTCAGGAAGGGCAATTCTGATTGCGGATTTTGTGGGCGCCACAGGGACTGTGCTTTTGTCTGTGATTAGACAAAATTAGGAAGTGGCCCTGTTTTGTTTCACTTATCGTGGTCTCAGGATAGCTTTCTGTGAAGTAATGGTTCTATGAGGTTTAGATTGGACCAGCTTGTGACGCTACCGCAATCGAGCTGCGCACCTCGGATCAACGCTGCACATCAGGGCCTGCATGCTTTCTCGCTCACGAGAAGGAAGAGTCTGTGTGGAAAGGGATCTGGGTGTTGTTTTAACTGCTGAACACAGACAACAAGTGTACAACCAACTCTGACAGCAGCCAGTGTGGGGTTGGTGTTTCCTCCTAGATAAAAATGAACCCAATCATAGGATTGCCCCTGCTTTCCCACAGCACCCAATTCAGAGCAAAACTATACTTCGTTGTATCCTTCCCCAAACTAACCCAAGTCCAAAGCCTATAATGAATCCCTGCTTACACTTCCTTACTGAGGTGCCCCAAAGTTCCCCATGATACGCTGCCATCTCCCTCGCTGCAAGAAGCCAATAAACCCATCTTCGACTGCAGGTGTGTTGTCCTAGGAGTCTGGCTAAAGGGTACCAACAGTGCAAAGAGAAATCATTGGAAATGTTTAAGCAGGAAAGTGACATGATAAGACTTACATTTTTAAAATGAGTACTCGAGCTCTTATGAGCAGGTGGGTTTATGGGGGCAAGAGTGGATGCAAAAAAAAAAATCCAGATGATGGAGAACCTGAATTAAAAGTGACAGGGGATGGAGAGAAGGGGACAGCTCTGATAATCATGGCAGAGGAGTTAGCATGGGAAGCTGGGGAGAAGGACACTGAACT